TATAATTAGTGAATTTACCCAATTCGACATTGTTGGATTTTTTGAGTGAATTATTCGAAATATTCCTTTTTCTGTTTTGAGTAAATTTCATTTATGATATTAGTTAACTATAAAAAATTATAAAAAACGGGAAATACAACATACTTATATAATTGTCTCAATATGTTTTCAAAACTAAAATGGGTATAACAATTACTGATATTAATACTTTAATTCTAATTTAATAGTTATAGTTCGATGTCATATTTTAAACAATATAAAAATTATTAAGTTTTATTTATTTCCGATTTTAAAATAGTCTGTTTAACATAAATATATGTCTATAATTATATACATATTAAAACAAAAACGTTTTCGATAGAAAACTGTTGATTTTTGTCTGAATCAACAATAAATTCATCGTGATTACCTTTAAACAAATTCACATTCTAAATTAAAGCACAAATTACCGAGAAAAAAAACAATGTAAAAATTTCTATTAATTAATGAAAATTCAACAAACCCGAAAAAGTTAAATCAAATTTAAACGGCTTTTCTCCGTAATTGATAGCTATTTTGTTAAACACATTCAATGAGATGACAGCAGCAATGTTATCTGCATCAAAATGTTTTCTGTATACGATTTTCTTATTGCATATAAAGAAGACGTCAAAGATCACTTCTTCCAAATCAACAACAAACCCAACACCAACAACATTTGTGACTTCCGTCTTTTCGCCGTACCTTATACCAGTATCATAATCACTGGTATCGTCTCCATTGTAAATCATTCTATCGTCGCTGTGATATCCACAACTCATTTTTTGCCATCCAATCATTGTGTTTATATAATTAATGTCTTCGAACACATTTATTATCCCAACACCAACATAACTGTTTCCAGTCACTTCAACTTCAAAATATCTGACATTTGCAATGGTCGCAATTTCATCGTTTTCAGTGATGAACCGCATTTTGTCGTTGCTGTTAAACTCATCGATAAATCGATATGAAACTACCATATCGTACAAGTCTTCTTCATTTTCACCTTTCCTTATAATTTCATTGCCAACTACTTCAACGCGTGGACTCATTGAGACAAATTTGGACATCTTCCACTCACCTTCTTCTTTAATTGGGATTGGAAATTCAAAGAAGTTTTCAAGGTCATTTTTCAAATCGTTTTTATCGGAATAATTTTGGATGTATTCAAGTGAATTAATTCTGTTAAAATTTATTGCTTTAGAATTACTGAAATGGACAATCTTGTTACTAAAGTCGATTTCTGGTAAATAAACAAATTCTGAGCTAATAACAGTGAGTCTTTTGAGACTATCAAATTTTTCTGAAAATGCAATTTTATTTCCTTTGTAAACAAATAGTGTGTTTAAATGGGCGAGTTCACAAGTAAAAGCGACTTCGTCGACATCCCACAATTCGATCTCCAAAAGTGCATTCATTTTGCATTTCTTAGTGAATTTCGTTGCAACAGACTTTACCACAGAAAGACTCTCCAAACAAAGAAATTCGTTGTCGAATTTGACTTCAATAAACGAAAGATTTTTCAGAGTTTTAATGTACGAAAAGTTGATATCAAGAACTCGTGTATCACCATCATCACCATCTTCATCATTGTTATTAGATAACAAAATAATTTTTGAGACGCTTTTTGGTATTACCCATGTCGTTTTCATCACTTCATTTGAATATTTAAAATAAATAATCGTCGCGTACGAGTTCTCTATAATTCTATTGATGATTGGACTCACCGTGGACCCTTCTATATCAATTACTCCACTTTCACAAACAATTCTTTCACTCAATTTTTCACACATATTGGAACTACATATGTCGTATATATACGTCGTCTTCTTAAAGAAATTGAGAACTGCTTTATCTACTGGATGACGCTTAATTTTGATGTATACGGTGCTATTCTTGTTGTTGGGAAGTACCTGTTCTAACCACTTCAACTTGTTGAGAAAAAAGGCGTTTAACTCAATTGGGTTTCCTCCAATTGTGTCGATGAGAACAATTTTGGGAAGACGCAAATACTTTTCTTTTCCATTTTCTGTGTAATCGTCGATGAGTCGATGAATAAATCCAAGTCGGTTAACAAGTAATTCAAAGACGTAAAATATTTTGTGTGTTTTGTCACGAAATCTGAGCATTTTAAAATATATTTATAATTATCATCTTCTGGGTTTACAGATAGTAATAACATTCGTGTCACTTTGGGAAATATTTTCTGAACAAATTCAGATGTTAATAATCCCCTTTTAAACGCAAATGTAAAATCAATGTTGCGGATTTGTTTTGGATGTGTGAAAAGATCAGGGGAAGTTAACTCATAAAAACCGAAGTCTATTGTGTCAGGAGAAAAATGTTTGAAAAACAAATAACAGAAGACTCTGTTCTAAAAATGGGATTCACTTTCAAAGAACATAATGCTGATAAACATACTCTGGTTACTTGAAGAAAATTGTATACTGTTTCACGACTTGAAAATTTCAACACCACTTTCATCAAAAATACCATTTCTAATTTAACAAGCATTCTATTGATTGTTTTTTAATTTCGTTTTTATTGGTAATTTTTTTCTTATTTATAAAACTTTTTTTGAAGTTTTTTTATTCAACAATTAAATGACTACTAGGTTTACAGTTAAAATTAATAAATTTAGATATTCTCAATAAAACAAAAAAATAATTATTTGTGATATTTTTCACATAAAAAATCAAAGCTCCAATATGTAAAAATAATTCAACAAACAATGAAGCATATTATTTTTAAAATTTATGTGTTGTTTGTGTTTATATACATCTTCTTACAAAACAATACAATTACCAACAATATGAGTTGGTGTTTTAATGAACAGATTGATCTCTATTGATTATTAAACATAACATCAAAAATGCAACAAAATGCTATTATTGTTTTAAATAGACTGACATTTATAAATTTGTTTTCATTTTGTGTTTTAAGAAAATCGAAATATCACACAATTTGACATTGGTTTAAGATTTTCAAAACTGTCTTTTGCTCAGAATAACAATAACAAGTATTTACAAAATAACTGGCTTTTAAACAATTTAAATTTACAAATTGCAATTGTAAATTGCAAGTTGATGAATAACTATAACAATATGTACATTGTTGACGACAAACAACAACATTCATTAACTATTTTCTGATATTGTTTTGTTTTTTTTTCATGTTTTACAATAAAACATACAACATACCTTTGCTGAATAGAAGGACCATATTTTTGAAAAAAAATATTTTTTGTTGATGTTGTTAAATAAAAGGACTATCTATTTTAACACTTTAAATAACATTGAACAAAATTCAAGTGGTCTAAAAATTGGGAAATCTTAAGTTTATAAAATATATTTTCATTTTTTAGAGTTTGTATTATATGTACATAATACACAAGCCAAAAAAGTAAAATCATTAAAAAATAAATTAATATCCCTGTAAAAACAGACCAAAACAAAAACAAGGGTGTTATTTTAAGTGTTAAACAAATAATTATTTTTTGAAAAAATGATTAATTTTGTTAAATAACAGAATTGGTAAAATATATATATAATAAAACATAACGTTCAAATCAATTTTGATAAAACAAAATTAATAATAACAATATAAAAACAAATGAAAAAGAAAAAAAATAATAACAAACATGAACAAAGCAAGATCATCGTACACATTAGAACAAGAGAAAAAAGTTTTTGGACCCAATATATATTATGGAATATCTTTACTTTCAATAACAAAGAATATGGGGATTCCATACACGAATTTGTAAAAGTGGATAAAATGTTTCCAGATATTGCGAACTGTTCAAAAAAGAACACGAAAAATATTTTTAAAGCAAATAAAAGGTTCGGGTTTAGCCAACTTGGAACAAGAACTTTACAAATTTATCAAAGATTGTAGAAAGATGGAATTCTAGTGTCAAAGGAAATGGTCATTAATTATCTAAAACAACACTATCCACAAATTAAGTTAACCAACAAAAATTATTGGTTTTATGTTTTTTTCTCAAAGATACAACTTTTCTTACAAGAAAATAACACATATTTATATCAAAAATCAACAAAAAGACGAATAATTGAAACAGTTCTACCTTTTACAAGTATTGAAAAAATTATTTGGTGTACCACATGAGGTAATTTTAAATATGGACAAAACTGGAATCGAGTTTGATATGGTCAAAATAATCACTATGAAACTAAAGGCTTCAAACATGTGGGTGTCGCAACTTGTGGAAAGGAACATTAAAAGCAGCACTCATTTTATGTATAACGGAAAGTGGAATGTATTTACCCTTTTGTTATATATATAAACTCAAAAAATGCACAAAAATGCAGGTGTGATAACTGCAATATCACAAAATGGTTGCAATAATACCCACATAATGAATGGATGGGATCAAAAAGTTGTAATACCATACAACAAAAAGTTGGTATTGTCTTCATATCACTTTGGATGGATAACTACTCCATTCATGTAAAAATCAAAAAGTTTCCAACTGATGATATTGAAATCAAACCATTACCACCCAATTGTACGCCATTTTTGCATCCACTTGACGTCTTTGTGTTTATAGCGTTAAAAGAACGTCTCAGTGAAAAATGGTAGGATTGGACGAGTAACAAAACAGTTGGAAAATTCATTACAAAAAAGGAAACAGGAAAATGGTTGAAGGAGAGGTATTCTGTCAGTGGATTGTTGAAGCAGTCAATACACAATAAAAAATTACTGCTGTGTGAACTTGAATCGAAACCACTTGAAGATTATTTAAATGTTTTATATGACCTGGTTATTAATCTTAATGATAAGTATTTATCAATAGTTTAATTCAATTTTGTTTTTTATTCAAAATATATAAAATTAATTTTTTAATAAATTTAAATAACAAATAAGTTATTGTAACAGATTATGAAACATAAACAATTTATTATTTGTTTTAAAAATAAAGTTGATTTTAATTGTTTATTTTGTCTTAAGAAAAAAAAACAAATATTAAAATAAAAAAAATTTAAAAAGTTGTTTAATAAATACAGATATGTAAAAATTAAGAACATTCTATTCAACAAACGACAGTAAATATGTATTTAGTTATACAGATAAAATAAAAACCGGGGACCACAGGAAAAACCAGAAACCAGAAACCAGACTAATTTTAGCTATTGATTATTAAGCGGATTTTATACAATAAAACGGGCAAAGAAATAAATAAATGTGTAATTTTCTTATTATTTGGGCTTAAAAACGGTTATTTTTCGGGATGAAAAAAAATGAATGTGTTGTATAAAGTATGTATGCACAACAGCTTAATGTGAGCTATAATAGTAAGTTTATTATTATTTAATTATAAAATATTATTCTTTTGTTCAACCTTGTTAAACTTCAACACAACCATTCAATTAAATCGTTCTTTCATTTTTTCAAAGACACCAATGAATTCTTCTCTACTCACTCAGTTGATTCAATGAGTCACTTTTCGTTCAGCATTAAAAGTGACTCATGTGGTTCATAAAAATAAAGTAAATAATAAATAAATTATTGGAATGTTAGACATAAAGCAAATAATTGATGGTTATTAAACGTATTCAACACCGGAAGATAAATCAATACAAAAAAACAAACTTTACCTTGGCTCGGCTGGGCATTAACAAATGTAACAACTCTGAATGATTAATTAAGAGTTTCATATTTTATAGTTTTTTCTATTTTATTTGAAAAACAGTGTGTCTATTAATACTTGGTGCCTGGTTTTTGAAAAAAAACAACATATCCTCCAAAACCCCGATTATTTGGGGATTTTTCTTTAACAAGGAAACTTTATACCAAAAATAAAACAGCTTAATTTAGTCTGGTCCCTGGTTTATGGTTTGGTCCCTGGTTTTTCCTGTATCTGTACAGTTGTTCTTTAAACATTATACCTTTTAAATATTTTCAATAATATTCAAAATCAATAATATCTTTTGATTTTGATTTTTAGGGAAATTAAAATATAAACAAAAATGGCAGCAAAAAATAAAAACATAGACAGGTATGGTAAAATCCCAAAAAGTATAATAAATATAGTTTTTTCTATTGTTAAAATAATACACTATATAACTAACTGTTTTTTTGCAAATTGAACATCAAAAAATAAAAATACACTTACTGGTATTGAAATGTTAAAATAAATAACATTTTTGGTATAACAATATGATATTCTATATATACTATTATATAACAAATGCTAAAATTTTTAGTAAATTTGTCATATAATTTAGTAATTATTTTTCTCCAAACAAAAACTTCAAATATTTTATTTCCACAAATATCAAATTTGTTAAAAAAAGGTTTTTTTGTTCCTTAAACATGAACAAAAAGATGTTTTGTTCCATTATTAGTCACAAAAATAGTTTTCTCATTTTGTGTAAAACTATATATAAAGCTTTTGTAAATTGATAAAATCAAATGAACAGCTTAAGTGTTTTAACATTAATGTTAATTTCTTCTATGTTTAAATTTGTGAAAATCACCTCAATGCAATTGGGGTATGTTATGTATGAATGCGTTGTTTATATCATACATTGTTATTATGTCATTATTAATTCAACTAAAAACGAAAATGGCTTTATATACAAATTCTGCGTGTACGAAAAAGAACATATTATAAACCCAATTCTTCATTACAATTATTATGTTACACATCCGCAATTATTTCGAAACCGTGAAAATGGACTATTCGGCATTGAAAATTCTTGTTTTTCAAAAAACAAACCAGCATCTAAACAATATGAAAAAAACATACAAGAAAAATACAAAAAACAAAACGTTGTTAAACTAACATTACAACCAATGATCGAAAAAGAAAGTTTTACAAAACAAAGAGAACAAATTGTAAAAATAACAAATAACTTGGTGTCTATAGAAAAGGTAGTAAAAGTTTATGAAAGATCCGGATCAGAAGAAGAATTCAATATTACAAAGGAACAAGAGGAAAAGGAGAAAAAAGAAATCAACAAAGAAAGGTCACTATGCGTTGGTTCAAAAAGATTCGACAATCCAAAGAAAGAAACCATTCAGGAAGTCACAGTCTGTAAATCAAATGTAAACAGTGAGCAACGTGATCAATTGTGTCAAAATACACAACAAAGTGTGATGCAAA